AATCCAAAAATAATTCAAAACAGTTGAGAATTACAACAATAGCTATTGTCATTTAAGTATCTAATACACTTTCATTATAGGGAAAAGTAAGTTGTGATCTTTAATGGTCCATAGTATGCAAAATATGAAAATTAGAAATATCATATAACATTGTTAATTTTATTTATTATATATTTACTAAAAATAAAGATAAAATATATTTATCTAGCTCATCATCACCTTTATTCTATAATATAATTAAATATTATTTGGATTCTGCTTATTACTTCAAGTTATATGTAATTCATATTTAAAAAATTAAAAATCCATTTTAAAAAATTTTAACAAAAATTATCTTATTTTACATAAAATAAGTATTGTATATTCTAATCCGTATTAATTAAATGTTGTTTAAAAATACCGAAATATTACTAGATTAGTTAAAAAGGTTTATTCACATCGTGTTTCTTCCGTCCCTATCAATCATAAATAAAATTATTCAAAACATTATGTAAAAGTATGTGTTTATTTATTTTAATCTACAGCCGAACACATACGCATCATTGATAAATCTTTGCCACTATTCAATTCATTAACTATTCCACTTTTTAAACACTGACGAGATAATCTAACCATTTGAAGAGCAGTATTATCTTTCTTACCAATCAAATTATTTTAGACAACTATTATTTTGGAGATATATCCTTATAGCAAAATAAATAAGGATTTAGGTTTTGAGGGCGTTCAGCATTAAATGTTGTATTTAATGATTAATAATCAGCGTTTTCAGTCTAAAATATAATTATTATTGTAAAAAACATATTTTGGACTGAAAACTCTTATTATTAATCATCCAAGATTAAAACCAGCCAATGCAATTGATCTTTATATCATTGAATGGATTACTTATACATGAAAGCCTAACATTTTCCCGTGTTCACCCATTTTAATTCAATCCAGCACTATTGACGAATATCTTCATCAAAAATTCCAAAAAATAAAAAATAAATGCTGCAATTTTCATCCGGCGATAGGTAAGAAAATGATTTCAGTTGCATCAGTGTGCAACACTGTATGCTAACAATCGATCTCTAAAATGGAAAGTCATACAGCTAACGTAACAGGCAGTGAGGACTATAGAAATAGATTTTGATTTTTAATGTCTGTTACAAATAGCATCTTAACAATTGAATTATTCTAAAACTTTATGGGTTCACTGCATGAGTTCACTCCTGGTCTCTTTCAAGAATCTGACTTGAAGATCATGGATCTAAGTCTCCTAGCAAGTGTGTGACTTCAAGAACATAACAGCATGGATGATTTGTTCTGAGGACGGTGGGAGTTATATACCCAGGAAAAGTAGAGGGGATAAGAGAACTCGGAAGAGGGTTTCAAAGGAAGTTATCAATAATTAATATTCTTAAAATGAGGTCTGTGAGAAAGGGACCTTTTGCTCAAATCTGTTATTGTTTTCTAAGTCTTGATAATGGGTCTTGTTCTGTCCAATCGGTGCCTTTTATATAACTATTTCTATGCTATCAGAGATAGCTTGTCTTAGTTACCTAGCTAGAGCTTTGTCCTTTTGTCCTTTGAGTTACGAGGATTGCCAATATATGATTCACCAATTGGTACAATTAATGAACTCAATTATTTACATAAAGATTAAATTAATATTATTATTAGCTATTTTTAGACTAAAGATACTTGTTTTTTTCTACATAATTCTTCATTAAGTGCATTCCGTAACCGTAAGAATCCGCTGATTATTGGAAAAACGAAATCTATAATATTGATCTTTGGAGAGTTGCCAATTTAAATGCGTGAAACTACTTAGAACACCAGGTAAGATCCATGGAGGAGAAAATATTGTAAGCCGGAATTAAATATGTAGGTTGTTCAGTATTTTGAATTATAAAGTCAATGTTGTCAATTAGTCTCCTAATAATATTTCCTCACGTCGATCAATAAGAGGAACCCCAGGAGGTGTGATGGTCAATAACGTTACTCATGACGGAGAGGGAATACCCATTGTGAGATTATTCAAGTTTTTTTTTTTCTTTCACAACATATGAAATATATTGTAAAGGAAAGTATTGTGATCGTGAAAATTTTCGAATCTCAGTTTTCAACGGAAATATACGTTTTGAGGTAACCTGAGTACAAATCCCACGAAATGATCTATGTGTGCGTGCGTGCGTGCGTGCGTGTGTGTGTGCCTAAGATGTTACAGCAACTTTTTCGTCAAAATCGGCTTACTGGAAGCGACACTTTATGAAATCGATTTAACTAATTTTTACGATTTTCTCGAAAACGGCTTTAACAATTTTGATTGAATTTATTATATGAGGATAAAATTGAACTGTATTTAATATAATGTAAGTTTTATTCTCATTGGTGTTCTCTAGTAGGGCTTAAATGGCTATTTTTCAATATTAGCTTCTTCTTAAGTACCTTTATTTTTTTTTTATTTGAAATAATTAACCACTTCACATTGATCTCTAATACAAAAAATAGATAAATATAAAATATGAATGAACTTTATAATTAACTAAAGGAGAAATAGGAAGATCGTAACGGAGAATAGTTGTAATGGAGGAACCAAAGGAATACGAGCGCGCCCGTGTTCACTCGAGCTCGCCCGAAAGATTACAGCAGTCTTCCACTCGTAACATGAGCTTAATATGATACGGACTCCGACAATATTATGTATACATGTGCAGTTTTCATAAATGCCATCGTTAGTATTATTTAATATTTAATTGTATAGATTACAGCGATATAATAATCAAAAAATGTGTATATATAGGGCTACTTAAACTAATAAAAATAACCACAATGTAGTTTAAATAAATTTAGTGTCTATAATTTTAACTTTTACTTCCCCCTTTGTCTGAAAGTACTTATTTCTGCTAAGAAGAGTGCGGCGTGTGAACTCTGTGTAATGCGCACAACGCGACAGATTTTTTTTTTAATTATCAGGAGGATTTTACTATTTTATATATATATATATATATATATATATATATATATATATATATATAGAGAGAGAGAGAGAGAGAGAGAGTGAGAGAGAGAGAATTGAAGCTTTAACGACTATTGCCTGTAATGAAGTATTTATTTTTATCAATTCCAATACTATATTTTTATACACAGCGATTAATCTATAGGGGAGAACCCTTCTCTCCAATTCTTAGAAGTTGGATTTCAAACAATAAATTTTTCAAATTTAAGTAAGCTTATAGGCCGTGTCTTCCTTAATTTTGACTGGATTCCGAGTTGAAGACCGCGTTGGTTGCATGGTTGTAAAGAAGATATCAGAAGGGGAGGAGGGTTAAGTAGCAGATTGCGGTGTTGATTGTAAAGTGAGTGGGGAGGAGGGTCAGGGAGTGGGAGGGGAAGCGCTTGCTCTATTATTAATACTGCAGCAGCTGATTTGTGAAGGCACTTACCTGCTAATGGCTCTACTGGTTTTTAAAAACAAAAGACTTATCATTAAAATCATCTGTTTGTGCACTTATTGATTTTTGTTTGTTACAATATCAGAAAAAATGATTTGTGTTTATAGCGGGTGTATTAATTCGTATTTTTTATTACAAGCTACATAAGTTGTGTTTTTGTTTCTTGCGTACCTCTAATTTCTTTTTCTTTCTGATAGAAGATGCAGTTTTCATATTTCAAAGAACTATTACATTTTGATCCTTTATGTTCATTTTTCTATAATCTATACAAAGTACTCCATCGTCCTTTTTTATCAAATTATTAACATCCACCTGAAACTTCTTGAATAGCTTCATCGCGTCATAACCTACAACTATTTTATATACGAAAATTCTAGGAATTGAGACATTTTCAATCTGGAGATCGCCAAACTTTGTTTATTTAATTAGTCGCCAAAAACACGTCAATATGCATTTGTTTTTCTCTTTAATCGTTAGATAATTGGAGCACAAAATCAAGAAAAACACAATGCTTCCCTACCTTCGGTAGTGAGGAAGCAAAAGGTGGCATTCAAAAATATCGGACCGTTTGGCATGACCTACACTCTCATCATATATGCCAAACGGCCCAATATTTTTGTAGGCGATCACTTTTGCAATTTTGTGATCAAATTACCTTACGATCCAAGTGGTAAGGAAATGGGTATTTACTAGTTTTTAGTACCTCATTAAATGGACAAAGTTTGCCTATCTCCAGAATGAAAAGCCTAAAAAAAAAAAGTTCTTTATAGCATACTATTTTAGTATGATCAAACTTAAGACAAATCTAACAGCGTATTGGGTTCAAAGTGAATTGCTTTACAGTAATATACCAAAAACCTACAATTATGTTGTATAGTCTCCTAAAATCTCCTATTTCTCATCTAAATATATTGGGTGAAATAACTCAATTTAGACCGTAAGGCATTTTTATTTTTGAGTGTGTCGTATCCCCAATAACAATCAGAGAAATAATAGTTATGTAGATTTTTAGTAAGTAATCATAAACTCAGCAATTTGCAACTGAGAGGTAGCCTAATATAATAGAACCTTTTTATTTCCTTTTGATTTTCGTTTTATTAAGCTATTTTTAGACTAAAGATACTTGTTTTTTTCTACATAATTCTTCTTTTCTACATGTATATTTTCTCAATAATGAATAATTATTTTCTTTGCCATGAATAAATGTTTGTCCTGAGTCTTAGTAAATGCTAATTGAGTTATATCATTATCATATCTCAATTATTTAGTTTTTATTATTTAACGAAGAAAACATTTATGTTATTTATCCATGGCGCAATTTTTTACGCTACTGTGTCATTCATGTAACTTAAATTAATTTAAACTTAATAAAATTGTTTATTTTTTCTATCTTTTTCATGATTCTTTTTCTCCGTATTTTTTCTGATATTATATTTTGTCTTCCGACAGCCGAATGGAGAACTGTACGAGAGCTTCACGGTGTTCTGCCCGACGGATCGGCTAGAACTGATAGAGCTTCTGCAATCTGAAACCATCTTGATCGACTGGAGCAAACCGCTGTACATGAACTTCACCCACCAGGCCATAATGGACAGGATAGAGGAGTTCTACCAGGCCATGGGCGGCACTATGGAGAAGGTCGCCGGCGACATCTACGTCCTCGATGGACCGCCTCCTGATGAGATCAAGCTGGAAGAGTAAGTGGGGGACCCAAAGCTTGCTAATAATATGATAGCACTTAATTATTCATTATTATTAAGAAGTATTATATTGTAAATTTCGAAAAAAGTATGATCGATTTAACAAACAATAAAAAAGATTAAGTAAATTTTTGGTATATTTTAATATTGGGTTGTTCGGTAAATAATGCAGGATTCTGGTTTGAAAAGAACAAAATAGAAAAGAAAGATTTACAACTGTTTTATTTAATCAAAATAGTCTCCACTACTATCAATACATTTCTGCCAAATTGTTGGCAACTTTTCCATTCCCTCGGAATAGAATTTCCGATCTTTAGAATTGATAAACTCAAAAAACACATTTTCTAATTTCCTTTGTCTATTAAATTTTTTGTCACGTAAGTAATGATCCAGGTGTCTAAAAAAATAATAATCCGTAGGCAAGAGGTCCGGAGAGTAGAGCGGATGTGGCAGAGTTTCATATCCAAACTCCAGAATTTTTGTGACGTCACACATGAGAAATGTATTAATTTGGTTACAATGCGATTCGGCCTTGATTGTTTCTGCTGCTTCTGATTTGTCGAGCCACTGTCCAGAACTTCTACTGTTATCGAAAATATCCAATTTTCATCACAGTTGGCAATTCTTGACAGAAAAGGGTCGTTTTTGTTTCGACAAAGAAGTATAGCACAAACTTCAAGGCGCTGTTTTTTTTTTGTTGCTTTTTTTCTTTTTCTTTTTTTGGCCGTCTTTTAATGTGTATGGAACCCCACTTTCAATCTTTTTTACCTTCCCAATTGCTTTGAGGTGGTCTTCGACGGTTGATTTGCTAAAGTTGTTCCTCTACAAGTTGTCGAACAGTTGTTCTGGGATTTTCTCTCACCGCAGCTCGAAGAGCATCGTCATCAAGAGAGTTAGTCCTTCCACGTCCTTCTTTGTCTTCAAGGCTGAAGTCCCCCTCCACACATCATTGGCCTTTTTAATTCTGTTAGAAATTTCATGGTCGACCCTTCCATTCTTGTTAATTACTGCACCTAGTTATGTGTTGTCTTCCACCGTCTCAAGTACTTCTCCTTTGCAGTGAATTTCAACTATATCCTTATTCTGTCCGATATGCATTACTTTGCTCGTTTTTTTTTTTTTTTTCTATACGGGATTTTCCTGGACCAGGGGGTGAGGGCAGGGGATTAATGCCAGAGTTAAAAGCTCTTCTCGGCACCGAGACGCGAAATCGTAACTATTTCATCACTCATAACTTCGGTTATCAGGTTGCCGGGCTTTGCTCGATGCTGTGCACTTTCCAACAATAATTGCCATAACCTTTCTCTTTAATAATTATTGTTCTTAGAGAATAGATGTGGTCTTGGGTTTGAGTCTGATATTATTGAGAATGATATTAGTAAGAATGATGTCTGCCAAGCTTTTGACAATTACTTGCGTCAAAATCGTCCTTATATTCTATTTTTCACGTTGTGTGTCGTCGTTTATAGATCTTCAAAATTTCGTTTATTTATATAATGAATAGTAGGGATCTCAAGTTGTCCTCTTGCTTGACAGCTTTACTAATGGCAAAAATAAAAGACATTATACATTTATTCTTACTACGTCTTTGGAGTCCTGGATCGTGGAACTTATAGCATCAATCAATCCTGGTGGGATATCTTCGTCCAATAAGGCTTTCCGCAGTTCTTGTATAGGAACGGAATCGAATGCAGCCTTTATGTCCACGAAGCTTTCATCAGTTTAGGTTCCCCATATTTGCTCAATTTTTGCACGATACCTTCCCTACCGGCTGCGTTGCCATTCTTTAGTTTCTCTACTGCACTTTCGACCTCCTCCTCCCAGATTAACTCTTCGAATTCTTCGGGGGGAGTTTTAAACATATTTAAAGTATTTTCTGCATCATTGCTTCAGATAACGTCCGCATAGTGACATTTCCATCTCTCCCTAATTTCTGAATCTCAGGTGATTAGTCTGCCTCTTTTATCCTTTATAAATCCTATGGGCTTACGTTTCCTTTTTTTTATAACTTTAATTTTTTTTCCAGAAAACCTTAACCTTTTCATGGTAATTGTTCGGTAAGCTCCTCCCAACTCTTAGTTTTTGCCACTCTAACAACTAATTTCGAATCATTTCTTCTACGTACAGAAAGTTACCAATTTACTGAAGTCTTATTTCTAATATAATTCTTCCAAGCCGTTTTCTTCCTTCCAATTGCTGCCTTCATCCTTTCATTCCGTCATTCAGATCATTTACTTTTCGGTGAATTTTGTGTGATCCCGCAAGTCGTGGTTGCTAAATCCATTATTGCATTTTTTTATTTCTCCCCACAAAACGTCCATATTTTCATCCATACTGATTTTCTGGAGCTTGATTAAGAAGTTTTTTATGTTCCTTTTTATTTTCACTTGTCGTTTTCTCCACTGTATTGTATGCACCATTTTGCTTCCTCGCTACCGAAGGTAGGGAAGCATTGTATTCGTGCTAGAGGTTAAAAAAATGTTTGTGCTCAGAATCGAAAATTTCCACTCGCGTTTTACGTTTCAGACATCAAAGATCAAATCTGGTTTGGTGTCTGTCTGTCTGTCTGTAGTCAAATCGATTTAACGGACATATCACTTACTACCGTTCATCCAATTTTCAGGAATTGTGCGGGTTGATGTCTATATGGTCCCATATCAATTTTATTAAATTCTAACCAGCACTTCCGCGCACGCACGCGAAAACCCATTTTCGTAGATATGCCAATGTTTCAGAAATGGCTCGTTCGATTTGGCAAAAAATTGGATAATAAGTAGGTATTTGTGAAAAAATGATGTAGGGTCAATTTTATCGAATTCTGTCCGTTCTTTTCTCTTATATATGCGCAAAATTGTTTTCCTTGATACGTCTATATATCTAAAACTGCAAGTTCGATTTGGCTCAAATTTTAAGAGAATTTAGAAATTGGTAAACGTAAAATAAAATAGGCATCAATTTTATCAAATTCTATCTACTATTCCAAAAAAAAAAAAAAATACCATTTTCAGATCAGGAAATGTGTTATTTGGTACGCCTATAGTTTGAAAACGGCGCATTCGATTTCACCTAAACTTGGAGAACAGTATAGAAATTACTTAGTATCAATTTCATTGAATTCCATTTAATAATTAAAATTAATGCGAATAATTGTTAACAATATAATGGCTGCAAAATGTTGAAGGCACTGATTATATGGATTGGGAGTTAGGTTAGTACAATACTGTTGTGGGATTATAAAATTTTAGATTTTATTCAAAATATTAATTGATACTGTATTGTTTGGTCGATTCCAAACGTTACTGGCATGACACTTACTATCATTACATAGATTTCGTGTAATTTTCAGTAAATTTAAAGTAATTTTTACTTTGAATTTTTAAACAGAAAAAACGTGTTATTTGTGATTGTGTTTATTTCCATTGAAGTTCAACCAGTTCGTCTTGGTCTCGATTTCCTCCTTAAGTGTCGAAGTTGTTTGAACTTCACCCATATTTTTATATTCAAGCTTAATTAGTTTTGTTCTGACTAAAGAAAAGTATTGGTCTCGTTAACTCCGAACAAACAACAAGTTAAATTTTTCCTATGTATTTTCTGGTTCCATCTATTTTACCAACTGAAAACGTACCTATTATGTTTATATCATTGCTAATAGTGCAAAAGATCGTATGAAAAAATTTTCAATTTTTATTGTATTTGTACTAAAGGTGACATTTTGTAGTCAGCAACTGATATAAGTAGTCTGGTACTATGGAAAATAGCAGACGGCAAAAAAATATGAAATTATACCAATAAAGCATAAAGAAATAATGAGTTTTTACATACGACCTTTTGCACTATCAGTAGTGAAATGCATGTTCATTATGCATTGGTATTTTTTTTTAATTAAGAATAATCAACGTGGAATCTTCAAATACGGCACTCTTTCTCATTTTAATATTAGCTGATAAACGAAATTCGTGGATATCAAACCCTATTCCTGGAAATCAAATGTTGAAGAGTAACGGTATTTCCGAATCGGCTTCTCCTTCAGATTTTATTCTCATACGGAAAATTGTATATCGTGTAATACAGCCAATGAAATTCATTTTAGCCAATGAAAACGATGAGGAAGCTATACTGACCTTACTTGGTAGACTTTTTTTTTTTTTATCTTATTGCTATCAGAAATAGTATTGAAATTAATATATCAACGGTTTATTGCAAAAAATCAGTAAATACATTTTTGGTGGAACTAAACTTTTAAGTATATTTTTGTATATTTCAACCTTATTTATTGATACAAAACCCAGTAAGTGCACCAAAATGACACCAATCCTTTTATGTATCAAATTGTCTTGATTAAATTATTTTTACTTAAGTAAATATTATTAAATTAATAGATTAAACTTTGATTTCAGATTGCAGGGGGAGGACTGCGAGGTTCTGGAGCTGAGAGAAGAGCATGCCAAAGCTATTCATGATCTCTACCCTGCCAACGATATGGAGTCAGTAAAAGTATTTGAACGTTTGATCCGAGCCCTTCCAGCTTATGGAGTCTTCTCAGGTGGCCAGCTAGCAGCATGGATGGTCCAATCTTATTATGGTGCAATGTTCTCTATGCAGACTAGACCTGAATTCCGTCGTAAGGGCTTTGGTATACATCTTGCACAATGCCTCACAAGAAGTGTTAGAAATAGGGGTTACATACCGTTTGTGGTCATCAGGCCAGAGAATGATGCTTCTCTCAGCTTATACAACAAACTCGGATTCAAGAGAAGTTATCCAACAGTCCGCGCTATCCTTCACCCTCCTTCAGAATCTGAGGCTCCTGAGGGTAATATTGAGCCTAATAACGAATCGAATGAATCCAAACAAGAAGAAGAACAGTAATTTGCTAAAGGCAGCAGTGGCGCCATTCCATCACATTGAGACTAGGAAGTTGTATTTGTTTATATAATTGGAATGTTTAATAATCATAATTTTATTATCTAAGAGGCTTTCCAGCAATTGAAGTATAGAGTTCTTTAATATGCTTGTTAAAAGATTATCTACAAATCTTCAAAAATAATTTTTAATCTTATTATACTTTACACAAACAAAAAGAGTTGACACTTCACAGCTAAAAATTGTCTTAGCATTAGTTTAAAATTAACTTTAAAAGACTTCTTGTGCTATAATCTTACACTACTTAGCATAAATGAGAGTTAAATAACTTAGGAACTAACTAAATTATTAGTTTACTGATGTGAATAATCAATTAAATCCAAACCATAATCGATTTCCATGTCTCATTGTGAATAGATGAAATCAGTGTTGCTGTCAAAATCATTTAAAAAAAAAAAAAGTATTTCTATTAATCTTATAGTGATATTGCTATGGTTAGAATTTTCAGAATTTGATCATTTCTATTAACAAATATTTTAAAATCTTAGCACTGCCTGTTATAAACGGATAGTTGACTTTAAATTTATTTTTCAATATGCCAGTGTAATAACTATTAATTAAATATGATTTTTGTTAAAATACATTTAAACATTAACTATCAATTGATTTTAATCAATGCTAATGAATTTAAAATTTAAGGGAAAAGAAAAATGAACTCTGATTCAGTTATAAACTAATGATTTATTAAAAAAAAAAAAAAGTTTATTGCATTTATATTTGTTTTATCTTTTTTTAAATTTATATTTTTCATGTTCATTTATATGAGAAACATTTTGCATTTTTACATATTTATTTTTTGCTGTACAATAGATATGGCAAAACAATATATACATACATATATATGTTGTATGTATGCATATATAGTTTCTCCTTTTTAAAATTTTATCAAGGCACAATTTGCATGATAATAAAATGTAACATGCCTATGTAATAAAAATTGCTTTTAAAAATATTAATGATGGAAAGTGAGTAATGATTTAAAAAAAAAAAAATTAAAACTTTACAGAATCAATAGAAATAAGTTTTATCACTAGTGCAATATCCTACTTCAGATTGTGTTTTGAGGTTTTAAATGGTCCAAATTTCCTAGGATGCTTTAGAAAAAATAATAATATTAAGATTATAAAAATCAAATATTTATACTATGGATGACAAGAATGTGTTTGGTGAATGAACTGAGTTAATGCTCAAAAGTCCTCATTAAAACTCAGTTTTTGTAATACATAGAAAGCCTTAAGATTTAGCTTTTCACAAACTGCCTTCTTAAAATATATTATTGAAACACAGATTTTCTAATTATTTTTTTACTCATGTAGGATTGTTACAAGGCAGGTTTTGATGAAAACTATGAGGCATTGCTTTCTAGTCTGAATATTTCATTTTATATCACGGAATGGTTTAGCAATATTTCCTTTTTTGTAATAAAAAAGTGATGTGTAATATGTGCTGCCAGCTTGTACACCTTGCGCCACTGCTACCCATACCTGTAAATTGTATTCTTTCAGAGAAGATCCTTAATTGAGTGTTGAAGAAATTAAATTTGAGTAAAAGTTTTAGTAAAGTCATTGAAGTGATAGAATTTAAAATTTATTATAAGATTTTTGTACAGGATCTATTCCATCTCTAAGAGAAGCAAAACAAAAAATAATAAATATTATTTTAGTCTAAAAATTAAAATAAAAAATATATCAGTTAGTCTCAGCTGGTTTTAAATTTTGCCATTGACAATCTGTGATAATTAAACAAATGTTTGCCTGTTCAGAATAAAGCTTTAAATTATTTCTCAAACATGAGAACATTATATGGTATTACCATTATTTGTAAGTTTGTAAAAATTTCCCTTAAAAGGTATAACTTCATTCTTTTTAAAGGCCTAAAACCTTATTTCGAACCTTAAAAAAAGACATTAGCAAAACCCTTATAATTTTTAATAAACGTTAGGTTTAGTTCATTAATATATTTAAGTTTGTTTTGTCTTAACCCTAGCGTAACTTACTAACCTATTTGCTTGACACTTTTTAAGTGATTATTGTTGTATATTGTATAGATTATAAATTATCATCTGATTTTAATGAATTATTATAGGAACCAAAACTAACCGTTAGACAAAAAAAAAATATTATTTCCATTTTTGTTGTAAAATAACAATTTTACTCATCAAACATTAAAATAAAAGTTTTATTATTTACTTTCAAGTAAAAAAAAATTAAAGTAAATTTAGAATCATGTACAAAAACCATTTCTTACAACAACCATTTGACGTTTGATTCTACTTCATTCTTATTTAGGAATTGGTGCCTTTAAGATCTGAACCACTATTGAATTTTAATTATACCTATAAAATAATTAGACTTTTTTAAATTTAATAATTAAGTTAAAATTCAATTATTTTGAAATAAATGTTTTAATTTAACTTTTAAATAACGCCTTTGCTTAATTTTAACAATTTTTAATCCTTACTTTTTAAAAATAAATGACTTTGTTGTTCTTGAATGGTTCTATTGATTAATTTCCCAAATTAGTTATTATTTTGAATGATTTTATTTTTGTGAATAATTTTCTTTTTTATGAAAAGTTATGAAAAATGTTTTACCTAATAAAACTTTTTATCTGATAATATAAGTAAATAGATATATCTAGTTATTATATTATATACAATTAGATTGATTTTATTCAAAGGAGTGTATAGTAAGTATATATGACATGAAATATGTATGAATGGCTAAAATAGTCAAGACATTTTTCGAAAAAGTTTAGATAGTATTGACAAGTTGGACAGGCAAATAAGCATGTACATACAATTATTCTAAACAATGGATTATAAAATTTAAAACTGCCGAGACTTACTGTTTACTGTTAGCATATGATAATTAGCCATCCAATAATAAGGGTCAGCTTTATATAATTAATTATGTTTATACTTTCCATAACCCATGGTTAGTTGTTTTGAAAATGACTAGTGATTTTGATATTTATAAGTAAATTTAATATTTGTATACAACTGAAAAGAAGAAAACTGTAAAATTAGTGTTAGGAAATTTATTTAATTATTTTATATATTTATTTATTTTTATTTTAAGTCAGAACTTTGTTCATAGGCAATCGCTGCTAGTTTTTTATTTTTTTTTATAGATACTGTTCGCGTATTTCAATGAAATATTATAGGAAGGACTTTACTTTTTAAAAACTAAAATTATAAAACTAGCCAAACGTAGAGCACGACAACTTAAAAGAAAATCATTGATTTTCATTTGCTCATCAAGCAGTGAAACCAAAGAGCAGATAGTTGTAAATATGCCATCGCTCCTCTGTAAGTAATTTAAATAATTATTGCTTTACCACTTTTTCCTGGCTGAAATAAATAAATACTCTTTTCATTAGAGGTAATTCACGTTATGAAATTTTCCCATATACATATCTTTAAACTTTTTAATATATATATAATATTAAGCGTTGCTATGATATAGTAAAATTTTATTTGTATTGATGTAGTTTCTGTTTCATTTATTAAATATTTTTAATTATACATAATATCAGTATGTAATAGGAAATGTAAGAAAAATAATTACAATACTTTTTGAGATGTATGTAAAAAAGAAAAATGAAAAAAAAATACTGTGTTTCATTTATTTTTTTATCCATAAGAAATTGAGTACTTTAATTATTTATTTCAATTTTCCACAAAAAAAGAAAAAAAAATTCTAGTTAATGTAGAATGATGTTCCAATTTTACTCACATTTCTTGTAACTAAATATATATATATACATATAAATATTGCCTAACACCTTTCCAAAATATCTATTGTTCAATTAGGCAAGATGAAAAAAAAAACTAGATATCATGCTGTGTATTTTTCATAATTTTGTAGACAACACATTACCACTTTCTATTCTTCTGATTTGTTATTTTAATTATGCATACACATATTTTTAAATTGGAACTTTGGAGAATTTCGTAGTATTAAACACATTTCTTTCAAAATTGAAATTGAAGTTTTTGTATTGTTATATAAACATTTTTTTTTTGTTTTATTCTTTGTTACCTAAAATCAGAACTTTACATCAATTTTGTAAAATAAAAAAAATATCCATATCAATTTTCCTTAAAAAACAATACTCAACAAACATTTGGCAAAATGTTTCTGATTTACTATTCTGGACGTGTATAGTTCTTTTTTGGAGCTAACCTCCACAATTAACCTTTAAATAGTGTAATAATTAAGCTTAGGAAAACAACGCATGCATAGTTTGCTCAATGTAAAATAAAGAGCAAAGTCTACAATTAAATTACGGTCACAACAATGAACCATTTACTTTCTAAGTTCCAGTTAAAAATTATGTTAAATTATGTCAATTTATAATCCTACACTATATCACTCAGTTGATTTGCTAAAGCCTTCTTAGTGAAATCTGAAGCAAGAGGTAGACCTAAGAAAATTAATTCCTTTCTGGTACCTTTAGAAAGCCAAATTTATCTTACCGTTGATTCATAAAAAAAAAAAAAAATCTTTAATTCAAGGTTGGTTTGAAAAGAGTTGTTTTATCTGATATATTAAATTTTATAGTTTTGTTGTTATTTATTACAACTTTACTTTAAAAAATTACATTCCATTTTCTTTTTTTAATCCACATTATTTGGAACTATAAAGAAATTTAGGGTATATTGAGATTTTTGTACATATATTTAAGTTAATGCATTTTATTTGCAATGTCAAATTATTTTTAATTAAACACAATGATTTTCTTTATATATATATTTTTTTTTTTAATTTACTTAAAAAGGCTATTTGTAAAACAGTTGTGTTTAGTAGTTTTTTTTTTATTTTAATCTCAGAATTTATAGATTTAAATGTATGATATTCAAGTATGGATCTTTGTGTATATCTGTTTAAGAATAGTTTAAATGAACATGGAGTGAGACGTGAAAATGCTGCTCACAGAGCTGGAATAAATTGCCTTGGAAATGAGAATTTTTCTTTATTTTTACCCATTTCTCTTGCACTTTTTTTACTTACATTTATCATATAACATCAAAAGATGAAAAAAAAAAAGTAGATTAACACATTACAAAACGAAGGTATTGAGTCTTAAAGGAAAATTTAATTTTTAATTTTCTTTCTATAGACACAGTTTATTATCATAAAGTTGAACTCACATAAGGTCCATATCTATTATCACGAAAAAAAAATTATTTTCAGGGTAACATGTAAGTCGAGGGAAATTTTTATAGGAGTGATAGCAGACCTAAAGAGCTACAAAAAAGTTCATATAAACAATGGACCAACTTTCAGAAGAAAAGTATAAAGTACAAGTTGTATAGAAAATACAAAATTATGTGATTTTCTATCCTGCCCACTAAAAATTCCAGCGTTTTCAGCAAAAATTACTACAAGTAATTGTTGAAAAGCTTTCATTTCATGTTTTTCCATGATCTTGGATGCATTATAATAAACATAATACTTATATTAATTAGAAAAAAGAATTTTAAAATAATGAATTTTCAGGTAAATTGGTCATGAAAGTGTGTTTTTCACCAATTTCTCTATTATACGAACTAATCTGTATTTATGAATAAAAAATTAAATGTTTCTAGTCGTAAAATTTACGTTTTATTGAAAATAGTTACATAAATAAACAACAGGTTTATTTATTTTAAATGTAAATTTTAGGACTATAGAATATATTTGAAAAAACAATATTTTCAATTTTTTTTATAAAAGAAAAATGTAATTGAGCAATTATGTTTATTATAATACATCTTAGATTATGGAAAAACAAGTAAGACAAGCTTTTCAACAGTTAATTATAGTTATTTTTACTCAAAACATGGGTACTTGTAGGAGAGAGGATTAAAAATCACATAATTTTGTTACATGACTGAGGTGAATTTCAAATGTTTGCCTAATGAACATCAGCTTAATTAATCTGGATTTACAGTTTATTAAATGAGGAAGTTTTTCTAAAAGTGGAGTATATATAGCATAGTCGTAAGATAATCGCAAATATTTTTTTGATTTTTTTAAAAACAGAACTTAGTTTAGTTTTGCCATTCAAAAGTTCTCTTTAAATGGTTTTAATCATAGGCGCAAACTAGGGAGGGAGAGAGGGCGAGAGAGCCGATCCCCCCACTCCAGTAAAAATATTAAGGAGCAGGAATATTTGGTCCACCCAACAATTTGAGACAAAACAATAAAATCAATAATGAATAAGCTAAATGAATGAATAAAATGTGTAAACTAACTATCGATTAAAAAAAGTCGATTAGCTAGCAAGGCTAGGAACTAGTATTAGGTATGTATGTAACGATTTTGTTGATACCTAAATATTACTTTTATTTAAATTGACATTTATATTTAAAATAATAATATATTGAGTTTCTCCTAAGTAGAGGGAAATATTTAAACAGGAGCCGGCATAAACTTCATATAAACAATAGTCTGATTTTGGCTGAGCAGTAGGCAATTTAAGTTCCGTGTTTTTTTAATTAAATCGTGGTTTTTGATGAATAGGAAGTGATAACTAAAACATTAGTTAACATAATTAATTAATAACTACTTCACTGTAAAACAGACATCATTTTCTTGAAATGAAGTAGAGTTTGTTATTGTTAAAACCATTTAAAGAATAACAAAGTTATATGGTGAAGTTAAAAAAAATTATGAATTATTCGCGATTCTTTTTTAACAGCATCAAACTAAATACTTATAAATATATTTATAAGTGACCAATTAAACGTTTCCAATCCTAATATCTACGTGTAAATTAAAGAATCTTGCCGAAGAATATTAGGATTGGAAATATTTAATTGATCACTTATAAATAGAGACCAATTTCTATAATACAAAGCTTAATAAAAATACAGTTCATTACCACTTTAAATGATAAATGTTGAAAATTCATTATTTTTACCATTTTTTTGTAATAAATAAAAGGCGTATTTACAAATTTATGTTTATATTGTACACCCCAGGTAATGTGAAAATAAATTAAAGTTTTGCAATAATTTATTGTGATAAACCCTCAACTTAATTAATATGGGCTTAAAGCTTACTAAACAAGAATGTTTTTTCTAAAAGTGAGGTGTTTGTAGTATTGTTGGAGGTTGAAAAATAAAAATCGCAAGTAATTCATGAATTTTTAAAAACAGAACTTATCATATTGTGTCCGCTCAAAAGTCCTCTTTAAATGTTTTTAACAAACTCCATTTTTTTTTTAAAGTAAATTTTGTCTAGTTTTGAATCAATTTTGAATTAAATATCAATTTTTAATTAATAAAATTTTTAATATTAAAGTATGTTTTCGTTATAAAGCTTACAACATTCAATGTTCAATCAATG